GCTCAAGTGCATCATTTTCAATTTACTCCATCGAACTGACGCGTACAGAAGTATTTTGAAGGTGTTCAAAGAAGTTCCCTACTACGGCAAGGGAGTAATAGAGTTTTCGAGTGACTTCGAAAATTTCCTTGACATTTCCTCGACGCAGATTTCTCGCGAACTAGAAAGCGATCGAAACAACTGGAGCACCTATCAGAAGCGTAAATCTTCTACTTTACAACGCTTTCCTCCGACTTTCAAGAGGCATTGGCATGACAAGAAACTAGCTCGCATTACAAAGATGAGAACTCAACAACAATTTCGATTACTCGAGACAATTCCTCGACGTCTCCCACTCTCGAGAATAGGCGTGCTTAGAAAAACGCTCAGCACAACTTTAGAAACTAGAAGTCTCGTGCATTCAAAAGCTGCCTTCACTTTCTGAAATGGTTATCAATGAAGAAAGTTATAGTCCTTTGAATAGGGGGTACATTTGACGATTTTTCCAACTAGCGCGCTCTAGGCACAGCGCGCGACGCGATCGCGGGTAGTTAGCGCCGCTATACTGGAGCGCGAGACTGTTCAACTGTGTAGGGGCAGTACCTCCTTCAATGTTCTACTTTCCGGCCAATGTGGCAAAGGTTAAATGTCTTTAAAGGAAAGAAGGAGAACCTAATCTGAGCAGAATTGAATCTAGCATTTGGATCAAGCCGCATTTGCGTGGCAGCGGCGCTGCGTCCCTCTCGCACATCTGAAACTAGCATTTTTTGATATGAAACCGGATGTGCAGAGGACAAAAAGGGGTCGTATCAGAGTCCATGTTTTGGAGGGGGGTCGTAAAGAGGCGGTTATTTCCTCGACACGATTTTCACCCTGGTTCTCCATACGCAAAATTGTAACCATTTCGTAAAACTTGCAATCAATTTCGTCATTCATAATTTCGTAATTCTTGCTATCAATTTCGCTAATCTTGCACTCTTTTTTGCAATACCGTAGTGTGCGAACTGCTCTTGATGTGAATGGTATTCGTAATTAGTGGCAAATGATAGAATACAACCACAATCGGCCAATCCTTCCAATCCCAATCAGTCGCCCGCGGGCCAATTATCACTTTAGAGGTGCCGGCTCTTGAGACCTATTCCCGACTCGTGGCTTTAAACAGAGTTTTCCACGGAACCACATAGTGTTGGAAAAATGCACAGAGAATCAGAAAGACAGTTTGGGTATTTCTGTTCGATAAAGTCTAGATAGACAGTTTGGTTATTTCTGTTCGATAAAGTCTGGAGACCGGTAAAGGTGGTTGGGTGTTGGCAGGGGGAGCACCCTGAGTTGCTATTGTGGGCTTACGAGTAAGGGCTCTTAGGTCGCCATGGCCATTCAAGAAGTGATGTAAACGCGTAGTGCTTTTGAACGCTGATCCCAAATCTGCCTTCTATAATAAATCTGCTGAATGATCCTTTAACAGAGCTATGAAGCAAATGAGCGCAAGAGGTGGGTCTCCACTCAAGAAATCGTAAGATCGTTCTTTGTCGCGTTGACATTCGCACTTTCGAAGCAGCGAAAACAGCTTTTATTAGCCTGTTTAGCTGTGTTACCGAAAAAAAAACAATGCACGAAAAGGATCCAGTCCTATGACGTCCGAAATGTGAGTCTCGACCACTAACATTGTTCTCCTTTGCTTCATAACTCCATTCTTTGAATCGCTCAGCAGGTTTCGTACGAGGAGTTGTGATCAGCACATCTAGGCATGTACAGCACTCATGCGATGGCCACCGCAAGATTCCTTTTTTGTGAGCTGTATTCTAGAATTTTGGTCGCATCGCCCCTTATCGCCAAGTAAGCGTGCTGTTGTGATAGAGAGCTTCCGCGGAATGTTGGGCCATAGCATTTGATTAGAAGGTTCTAATTGTGTGATATATGCACCTTTTCGTAAGGTACTTTCAAAAAAGGGCAAATAGTGTGATTCTGTTTCGAAATGGGATAAATTTCTTACACACTGTGGTTAATTATAAGGTCATATTCATGGAATAATATTCTTGTGAGACTTGTGGTATGTAGATGGTGGCAGGTGAGGCCACTGCCCACGCACACGAACCAGAGTCAAATCTATGACCGGAGTTCGCCTAAACCAACCAGCTGTCCCCGCGGGTACTAGTCATTTTATAGGCCATGCATCGCTCGTATGACACCATGAAATGGAAGTAGGGGTGCGTGGCGCATCCCAGAAGGAATTGCTCCCCGCCAAAATTGTCATCCCTTTACCCTAGTGTTCTTCTGAAACAAATTCCAAATTAGAGTTGATAGCGAGGATGAGAATGACACTTCACC